TTTATACATGCCCTACATAAGATGAGAAATACTAAAGGTTTAACCACTGTTGACTTTCCTATTATTGAAAGGTTTCTCAGAGACCAGATTTCCAAGATATTTTTCATTTTGTTCAATATTTTCTAAAAAGTTTTTTCACATTGTATTTTGTCAGTTTCTATTCTCTACCAAGTAACTTAAATACACCTGCATGGTTCTATTTTAATTGTATTTGTTAATCAATGAAGTTCAAAAGTTTCTATTCACACCCAAAGGCCGTTAGATGCCATATCTTACTTCCACTAAGGCTGCTCTACAACAATATTCTTGCGAGATGAACATATCTGAATCAGCACTACGGTGCCATGTCATCAGATACCATGTGCTCACTCTTGTTGGATTTGTGCGGAACAGTGGGCCTAAGTGGACACATTTGCCAGAAGCTATTGACCTGTCCAGAGTTGCTCCAGTGTGCATGTAGGTGCAGATGTAGAGGCTAACAATGTGCAAGGGCAAAATGCACTGTATATTGCACATACAAGGGAGAATTAACTATTATTATTATTATTAACTATTGCAAAGTTTTATAAAGAGTCATAAGGTGATAAAAGCATGGAAATGGCTGGTTACTAATTTTGAACATGCTGCCTTAAGTATCTGCACTAGCAATTTATTTGATCGGATATGTGTAAACACACAATTGGTTCAACTTACTGGATTAAAAGTATGAACATCTTGCTCAAAAGTGTAGTTCTTAGCTAGTATTATAGATTTGCCTTACTTAATAGACTAACGCAACTTTAAATGCTTGTTGCTAGGGTAATATGCTGCCTAGCAATCGTGGCTAAGGTTAATTTGGGTTTTAATTGCCTTAAAATAGTCTAGTGATAGTTCTGATGCCCGAAAATAGTTATTAGCATTTCTAAACCATTTAAACTGGACAAGAAAGGTCTAATTAGCTTGTTACTAAGGAAATTCACTTCCATAGCAACGGTTGCTAAGCAACGCTTTGAAATTTTGGGCACTGCCCTTGAAAATGATCAGCATAGACCAAAGAACATTTGTGCCAAGTTTCATGCTTTTTCCACATTTTGAGCAATTTGGCCAAAATATAGCACCAGTCATCCAGACTAACGTATCCTCCATTGATGGCTATACAAATGGCTATAACAAAAAACCAAACTTTTTAGATAAAAAACAGGGACTACCTTTGAATGTAAAAATGGATTCATTAACCATTGGTTAGTATGGGAAAATTGTTGGTTACTCCAGGAAAATTCATTTTTTGGCCGAAACAAAGAGTTATTATCCCTATTATTTCATATGCCAGCATGAACCTACACATGAGTAAGCTGCTGAAGATATGACTTCATTGTTAACTAGCAGAGTATTTGCAACGGTAATTAATATCTTACAGACACAACCTTTACAGTTTCAAGTTGGACAGCACCAACAACAACAGCAGCAAAATCAATCGCAGCAGGTAAACCTTATGAAGAGTTTGACTATATTAGAAGTGGACATATGAAACCAAATTGTGATTGAATTGTGTTTTTAGAATCCATGCCCATGGAAATTGGGAGTACAAGGATGGTTGGCTTTTTATATGATCAAAATATTTTAGTAGCTTTGCTTCATTGCCTTGCTGTGTGCTTTTATAGCTGATGCTTCTCTAGTAAAATGTGTGCAGTGGTGCCAAAATGCAGATGCACAGAAACTTAATCATATTCCATACATTTCAGATTCAGGTTCTACAGGTTGGGCAACAGTTGACTAATTCACAAGGACAACAGGTGAGTTTACTCTGATAAAATGTTGTTCATGTCAGATGAAAACACGGATATCATGGCTTAAGTAGAAAAAAGTAAATTTAAATTGGGAAATACATACACAGGTCTTGATTTTGATAAGTCAAGCAAATGAGATAAGGTCTTCGTCATTAACAGTCTAAAATTGCCTTGTTCAGCAGTAGTACTATTCTTTAAAATTCTAGATAATCATTCAACAACCCCAGGGCCAGGGTCAGCAGGCAGTGACTGGGCAGATTATCCAGATTGGGGACAGTCAGGCCATCATCTACCAGCCTGCAGGGGGAGGGGACAATGTGGCTCAGATGTTACAAATACAGCAACCTAACCAGCAAGGTACAGCTGTTAGAGTGAATGGGGGATATGTATACATACACACATGCACACACACACAAAAGCACAACCATTGAATATTGAAAAACAAAGTACTATTTATTTTCACTATAAGCCTGGTAATATGGTATTTCTGGCTACTGAATGCAGTATTTGCTGTGGTGTCATAAGCAAACTTTTACTGCAATCAGTGCACAGTATGGTGTGTGTGTGTGTCTATATCTTAACAATTTAAGCATTAACTATGTTGGAACATAAATTTCATCACTGCCAACTATATTTCATTGTAGCAGGTCAGGTTATCCAGATTCCTACCAGTCTAGCCACCCAGACAGCCCAGGCCTCCACTGCCAGTAGTATGCCCACCACTATCACTATTCCTGGCACAGGGGGGCAGGGACAGGTTATCATGGTGAGGCTGCTTTGGGTCTTCCCATCTGTTTGACGAACTTCAAATCCATGTTTCAGTAGTGTTTTGGTCATTTTGAATGGTTTTGACTTGTAAGGATATGTTTAGTTTGTTAGTTTTTGTTCACTGATAATGTAAAATATTTCTAGGGAAGAGAAAATTACCACACAATGTAAAATTAGTGATAGCTTTGCTTCACATGCTAAATGGTGAAACCATTTTTGATTTAAATCTGCTATGCAAGTTTATTTACTCTCATAAGGGCATTTTACTTAGCAAAATATTCATGTTTATAGACATATCTCACTTGTTACAGATGGTCCCAACCAACACAACATCCACAGCCTCTGGAGGTGGAGCTGCCATGCAGAGGTTGCCCCTCCCTGGTCAGGAGGTTATGGAGGAGGAGCCATTGTACGTGAATGCCAAGCAATATCACAGGATACTCAAACGGCGGCAAGCCAGGGCTAAATTGGAGGCAGAGGGAAAAATACCAAAGGAGAGGAAAGTAAGTTGTTTGGTCAGTCCTGGAAATATTCCTGTATCTTGATGTCATGTAAATGATGTTGATAGTTTACCATGACAGTTTGTCAGCCTTTAGTTTTACATAATATTATTTACATATATAATTGTACACAGAATTCAGGAGATGAGTTGAAAACTAAATGAATAGTCATATAATATTTTCTTGGTTTTTACAGAAATATCTTCATGAAAGTCGTCATAAGCATGCAATGAATAGATCTCGTGGGGAAGGCGGTCGCTTCTATTCTCCTGGAGAGAGAAAACAACGAGAAGAACAAAGAAGGGAAGAGCAAAGGAGGAAAGATAATAATCATCAAAATATTTTAGACTCATCACTAACAGTAAGTGCATCTGTGCTAGTAAGTGCATTTGTGCTTTTAATGATGGAAGAATTAAGGACATTTTCTTACCTTATACTATTGAGACATATTCAAGAAGGGTTATATATGAAGGACCTCTTTTGTTGTTTTAACATATTTGTCAAGATCATCACCTCAAGATATGGTCATTGACCTTTATGTCTTCATTTTATTTCTGTCATGAATATGATATTAACATCAGTCAAATAACACAATTTTGTTTTATTTTCAGAATGCATCCTTTCATGAACTATTGCGGAATACAAACTCTGCTCCTCTAATACTACATGCTGATGGCACAGATTCAACAGCAGATAATGCAGTTACAGAAGTCAACAGCTAAAGGAGCATATTAGAGGTCCTCAGCTAAATAAAACAATTTAAAAGGGAATTTACTTTTTAAAAGTTAATTGCCCTGTTCCATGATCAGAATGGTCAGTCTTTCATTATTCCTTGGTGCTCTTTTTCAACACCTTAATTGCGTTTGATTTTTCTTTTCCTAGTTTTCTTGGAATATTTAAGAATCATTTATTTTCTAAATGTCAAACATAATAAGAGGTGAAGCACAAAAGAATCTTTAAAATGAAAAATGACTTTTTACAAAGCATATGCACATTTTTGTACTTGGCTTTATTCTGTTGTATGTTAATACCTTAAGTAGAGAATTTGAATATAGGTACCTTGTGGTTTAAATGATCAGTCCTGTCTCAGTGTTTGACAATCAAACATTTAGAAATATACCATTTGATTTGTGGTTGTATAGAATGTACTTGGTACAACTTAGAACAACTTGGGTTATTCTCTTGTAAATTGATTCTATGAAGAAAGTTTTGTCTTTAGTTGTATGACTTAATTACACTCCTTTGTTGTATTTATCTGATATAATTAAAAGATTATAATGCTAAGACACTAAGTTGAACTTGGCAAAAATTTTACTCTCACAAAAAGATAACACACAAATAATACTTTCATACAAGCAATTCTTCACTCCATAAAAAAAAACTGCTTGTCTTTCAGCTAAAGGAAAATGAGAATTTCAAGTTAAAAAGTTATTTGCACGTTGTGCATGTGCCTAAATATCACTAAGTACTTGTAGTCAAATATGCAGTGAGTCTGTCTTCTTATATTGTATATTATGCACATTTGTACATATTGATCATCATTATTTTATACTTGTATCAAAATTAGACTCTCATGAAAATACAGGGTAGTTAACACTGTAACAAAATGTGCTGTTTGTATATATACAAATATCTGTATATAAGTTAGTAGGATGTGTTGTGAAACTAATAATCATTGCTTATAGTGACTGGAATTCAAAGGTTTTAAGACCATGTGGCACTTAGTGAGACTAATATCTTAACAGATACAGTGCTTTGCACCGCAGTTTTAATGGTAAAATTTTTACTGATGTATATAAAAATAAAAATGTTTTGCATGTATTGATAATCTGTGGTTCTTGCTCCGAGTTAACTTAATGATACAAGTGGGATAGTCTGCACTATTATTCGCTATTTCTTTTAATACTGTTATGCATTTTTTTTTTGGGGGGGGGGATGACACAACTTTTTCCACTCTAATTCATGCAAAAAATGTTTAGTGATAAAACAAGCCAAACTATTCTTCAAAGAAGCAAACAATAGCTAAATGGTTAACCCCTTTTAATTTGCATGAGAAATCGTGTAGTCTGATTCCAATTTCAAAATTCATGATTCAGTAATAAAATTATTGTATGGCTCCTCTTAACAAATATAAAAGAGGAAAGAAATGTTTTGGGGTAATATCTTTAGCACAATCTTCTTTAAACCCTGAGAATGTCAAGTGATTTCCATGACTGGAAGGGGCAAGTTTTTTCATAACAGGCTTTCCGTCTTGTACCTGTAGGTCAAGGTATATCAGGAGGTTCCTCGTCAGACTCAAACTCTACTGTGTCATCCTGCACCCATTTTCCTGAACGGTCTCTCTTCCAACCAGATCTAAAGACAAAAGGAAGTAAAAGGAATTGACATGACTGTAAATCACTTAAATAATTTCTTAATACAGGTGGCTACATAACCTGGATTAGACCTAGTTATTAACCCTCATTGCATTGTAAATTTTAAGAAGTGGTTTGATCATAAAGCAGTATGAAAGACAAATCGATACTTACTGAACAGCTTGCAAATATCTTTCAGCCAAAATTTGTTTTTCTGTAGGTTCACCAGATTTCTTCGGTGTATTAAGGGAGGTGCTTGTTATTTTCTTCACTTTTGTCTTTTCAACTTTTTTTACTTCTGTGACATTTTTTGAACTAACAGGAATAAGTTTTGTCCTCCACGTATGCTGATGTTGTACATTATCAGTATCTGCCTGTTTATCTTTTGTTGATGTACAATAATCTGGATCCCTAGGATATGCGACCTGATTACATGGGTACTCACTTTCATTGAACACCTCAACATTATTAGTGGTCTTATCAAGTGAAACTGGCCTTGCCTCTGAAAGTTGCTGTAGATTTCTACTTTTTGCGGGTGGTTCATTGTCCTTAACAGCCTGCTGTGAACTGTACAATGTTTCTACTGGGGTGGTATTTGTCCTTCTTTTACTTTTATAAGGTCTAAAATCTGTTGGAATAGAATCATGTTGTTGAAAATTTGCCAGTCTCTTCAAAATCGATGTGCTTGATATATTCCTATCCAATTCAATTCTTGTGTCCTTGTCTTCTTTATTCCTTTTGACACATGGATTGTATGAGGCAGCTGACATCAAAGCATTTCCACAGGAAGACTCCTGTAAACAGAAGTGAAGTGACATTATATGTTATGCAAACTCATAAAATCAGAATTTAAATGAAATTCCATCAATTTTTCATTCAAATATCTAAAGCACAATGTTTACATAGTGTAAAAAGTGACCGTGTTTCATATTTCTTATTTTATTTATTTTTTATTCAAAACTTCCTTTAATTATTAGTTTTAAAATATCTTATTCTTTTTACTGCACCAGCTTCTAAATTTGTTTCAATTTGAGTTGTTCATTCTCACATTTTTAATCCTTTGTGGTTGAGATGTCTGCTGTGCTGCAGACGTACCACTGTTTGATACCATTGGATGGATGTCTTCCTGTTTTACATTATCTGGATGTAGAATGTTGATGCATAGAGAGAATCAACTATCATAATTTATTCTAAGAAACCTGAATGTCTTATTTTTGACACACTATCAATGCAGGCCAGTTTGATTTTTCTGATCAACATAGCAAAAGGTCCGTATAAAAGAAAGATATGTATAATAACACAGAAATTAAATTAAAAGCACTGAATAGGACATCATTTGGTAAAACATTATGAGCGTCACATATAAATAAATACTTGCTTGCTTTATGCTTCTTTCCTTGTCTGTGCACTGCAAGCACAGCAATTGTGTCAAATAATGGCCTGTGTGGACATATTGTGCAGGTAAACCTGGAAAACAACAGGATGTAAGAGTATAAGATAGCACTGCAGGCCATATTCTTCAGCATTATACCATGCTGCTTTAACAACCTGTGATTAATTAAAAAGCAGACATGTGCTATTCCATGTCCTTACTGTGTTATCCAAATAATAAAAACACATTACCTTCCATCCCTTAGGAGCAGAGCCTCTTTCTCTGGGATGTCATAAGCAAATAGTTCTTCTATTCTTCTTTTCTAAAACAGTTACACAATTTCAGTAATGCTGTCATTATCATATCATGATTGGGACTCAGCTGTAACAATTTTCTGCTAGAGTAAAATAATAATAATAATTACAATAATAATAATAATAATAATAATTAAAAAAACAAAAAGAAAAAAAGAAAAACCCATGCTGTACATTTTACTAACTTAAACACAGCCAAAGTGTCCGTTCAAATGATCTTTCAATTTCTTTTCGGAATAACATTAAGGCCATTTTTAGTTACTACGTACTTCTCTGAAAATCAGTTTTGACTGCTGACAGTGTTACATGCAATGTTAGTGTATTGTTACTAATTTGCCGTACCCTAATTTGTTGCAAGAGGCTGTGATCATCACCCTCTCTCTTAAATGACATGGTGAATGAGATTAGTGTTGCTAACCAATTTTCTTTTGAATGTTTTGCGTTAATCAACCCTTGGCAGCCACTGGTAACAGTAAAAATAGAAATCATAAACCAGCGGAAACAAAAACACAGGGGGCAGACATATTGGCATTCCGCGAAGCGAAGTGAAGATAACCCAATGAGGTATCGGGTTACATCTGACCTTGGCCTTGCCAGCTTGGCAAGTCGGCCACGTTGACAGAATTTGATTGGACATTGTAATCACGTGGGTTATTTTAGCTTCTTTAATTGGACGTCTCTTGGTGTCCTATTCAAAAGGTCTTCTCGCGTGTAAGGTAGTAAAGAGGCGACAGCGTGCTGTCATTTGAAGGGATTCCCTGCTATTCAACTCATTTCAGGAATTCAGTAAGTATTCTGTTTTGTTTGCAACTCTCTTATTTATATTTTCATCCCTCGATGTTATCTTTTATCTCAGTATCTAGACTTGTTTATGGAAAGTAGCCACGTTGAAAGGAAATTCCTTGATCATGTCAACTCATTGACGATCAAAGAAACCGGATCTCTCTCTGACACGTTGACAAGGCAGTGTTTACAGTTGACACGATGTCGTGTGCTGTGTCAATTTCCAGGGAAATTGTGGTTAAATGATATCCTTTATTCGATTGATGCAATAAGCCACGTCGCATTGCTACGTGGCAGTGGTGGGTTCTAGAAAAACTCGTGGAATTTGACTGATGCAAGCAGTCCCTCACTTGAAACTGGACGGAGCAGAACACAGAGACACTTTCTTGTAACAGGTTTCTGGAAAACCCACGTTGGAACAAGGAGACCGTTTCCTTCATAGCGTATGCAAATTGTATATTTGAAATGTTATTGTGAGCGATCATGACAGTTGATGTCGATACTAAAGCATTTAAGATGACAATTAAGAGTATTGCAGATTGTGAATGTATCAGTTTGTTAGTATCATAAACCGTATTGCATTTTCCATTTTTTAAAATCCATTTAAAATGCTTTGTGCCAAGAGCTTTATGAAGAGATAAGTTGATGCTCTTCCTCCGTTTTTATTACTTTGATTTGTGATTTGGAATTATTTGACAGTTATAAAGTAGTGGACGTTTTATTCACTGTTCTATACATTATGCCACCCTGTACATAATATTATTTAATTTTGAGATCTGCATAATATTTTTATGCATTTATTTCAGAAGTGAATGATAAACAGTGGAATCATGAGGTCATGTGCTTGCATGGTGGTACTGGCTCTTGTGGCCACCAGTCGCTCTTCTGCCATCCCCACCAAATCAGACGATCACAAATCACGATCCTTGGATAAGGTAGGGGTTCAATTGTCTTTTTCACCCTGTAGCCAGCTTAATTGTTGTGGATGCACATTGCATCAGCCAGAAAAAATAAGTAGTGTGAATAACTTGCTGTTCTGAAATTTTTTGAACAGAGTTGATGCAACTTTAAATGCAAAAATTGCATAACAGAGAAGAATTTCATCATCTGTTATGTAATAAGAATAAAGTAGTTTTCTTCAGTCAACAGTTTCATATTGAAATAAATTACCTCCAATATTTCAATGTCAAACAGAGCATATTCATCAGGGAATGAGGGTTACTTAATTCTTACAGAAAATTATGCTGTGTCTGATTATCCAGTGCCACTTCCACTTACGCAATGAAAACATTGTGGTTCTGTATGTGATTAGCACTATTTAAGTTGCATGGAACAAGTTTGCTCGTTTAAAGCAATAATAACTCTTCGTTTCGGCCAAAAAATGAATTTTCCTGGAGTAAACAACAATTTTCCCATACTTACCAATTGTTAATGAATCCATTTTTACATTCAAAGTTAGTCCCTGGTTTTTTTCTAAAAAGTTTGGTTTTTTGTTAAAATCTCTTAAGAGATTTTAACAGAGTATAGACATCAATGGAGGTCACGTGGTCTAAAGACAAGTTCAGATATCAGAATAAAAGCTATAACTGATGTTTTTGTGGTAAAACAGAATATATTATATTTCTATGAGTTATTCACAAGGTTTTTATTGTGAAATATAGATCTCATACGAAGAGTTATTATCCCTTTAAATGTGATTAGTAATACCATTGCTTAATTTCCTGTCAGTATAAACATCATAACTTAGGCACTGTTCACATGAAAAATCCCAATTCCAAAAATCCAAAAATTCATTGGCGGTATCTAGCAGTCTGTGCCCTGAATACCCCATGGCGTAATTAACTAGCGGAGCGAGCGAGTTGCTTCCAAAGCTGTAATTAAATCTCGGTTGCGCTCGGAGGAGATTCTTACACGCATGCGCAGTAATAAGTTAGAGAGAAAGAAAATGACAGTCGCAGTTGCTTTGAAAAATGTGTTTGTCGATTTTGTGCAACAACAAGACGAAGAAGATGAGGTCCATATACACACGACAGATATGAGTGCAAACTGATGAAATCCACAGTTTAGAGATACTACTGCGCATGGGTCCAGGCATCAGAATCTCCTTCTAGCACAGCCAAGAATTAATTACAGCTTTGGAAACGACTCGCTTGCGCTGCTAGTCAATTACACCGCGGGGTATTCAGGGCACATACCGTGATCACTAGCCAAAGGATTTTTGGATTTATAAAACTTGGGTTTTTCATGTGAATGGTGCCTTAGGAACCTTGTATGTAATAAACATGCATATGCTCATCAAATTTTTTTTTATTGAACATTTAATATATGCTTTAATATCATAATTTGTACAAGCTATATTTTTATATGAACTCAGAAAGTAAATTTACAATTACTTTATGATCATTTGTGACAAATATTAATAATTTTTTATGTATAGAAGAATAAAACAAATCATAAAAGAATGAAAAATGTATTGAATTGTTTGTTTAAATGCAATCTAGGACCTAAGCGATGAACAGCATTATGAAGGCGAGGAACATAATGCAGAATATGACCACGAAGCCTTTTTAGGACAAGAGGAAGCCAAGACGTTTGATCAACTCACACCTGAAGAGAGTAAAGAAAGATTATCGTAAGTATACGCTCTACAGATATATACAGAATTTGAGCAATTATTAAATTCTTCATTTGAAATGTGTTTTATATTAAAATGCATTTCTTGCTGTTTTTTTCCATATCATGTGATATAAACATGTTGGTAAAACAGGATTATCTGATACTGACTCTGTGTAGCAGTTGATTTAAGGATTTACAGAATATTCTTTCGAGAATTGTGTGGGATGCCAGATATCTCATTGACACGGGATGTTATCAGTCAAGTCAAAATAAAAGTCACATTTATTTTTATTATTATTATTTTTTTTTTTTTGAAAAATTTTTATGCAAAAAGAAACACAAGTGGTCATTTTTATCCGTAACATATGATGAATGCTTATTTTCTTTCATAGTAAAATAATAGATAAAATAGACAGAAATCAAGATGGCCAGGTGTCAGAGGAAGAGTTGAAGGAGTGGATCCAGCATGTCCAGAAGCGCTATGTGTACCAGGACACAGAGAGACAGTGGGTGCAGGACCAGAAGGTGGAGGGAGACAAGCTCACATGGGAAGCTTACAAAGACAGAACCTATGGATTTTTAAAAGATGGTATGCAGGAGCAGATATTGATGTTTTATTATGAGGGGAGGGGGGTATTGTGTCATGCTTTTTATTCATTTTGACAAGACTTGTTATGATTATGTTTTCTGAAAACCAGTTTTGATTTGAAAAAAATATCTGTTGTACATTTAAAACCACTTTGAAAGGAGTGATATTGCACCTTGGAAACTTCATGTGTTTTTGTTGATTAATAAACATTTNTAACACAATCTTCTTTAAACCCTGAGAATGTCAAGTGATTTCCATGACTGGAAGGGGCAAGTTTTTTCATAACAGGCTTTCCGTCTTGTACCTGTAGGTCAAGGTATATCAGGAGGTTCCTCATCAGACTCAAACTCTACTGTGTCATCCTTCACCCATTTTCCTGAACGGTCTCTCTTCCAACCAGATCTAAAGACAAAAGGAAGTAAAAGGAATTGACATGACTGTAAATCACTTAAATAATTTTTTAATACAGGTGGCTACATAACCTGGATTAGACCTAGTTATTAACCCTCATTGCATTGTAAATTTTAAGAAGTGGTTTGATCATAAAGCAGTATGAAAGACAAATTGATACTTACTGAACAGCTTGCAAATATCTTTCAGCCAAAATTTGTTTTTCTGTAGGTTCACCAGATTTCTTTGGTGTATTCAGGGAGGTGCTTGTTATTTTCTTCACTTTTGTCTTTTCAACTTTTTTTACTTCTGTGACATTTTTTGAACTAACAGGAATAAGTTTTGTCCTCCACGTATGCTGATGTTGTACATTATCAGTATCTGCCTGTTTATCTTTTGTTGATGTACAATAATCTGGATCCCTAGGATATGCGACCTGATTACATGGGTACTCACTTTCATAGAACACCTCAACATTATTAGTGGTCTTATCAAGTGAAACTGGCCTTGCCTCTGAAAGTTGCTGTAGATTTCTACTTTTTGCGGGTGGTTCATTGTCCTTAACAGCCTGCTGTGAACTGTACAATGTTTCTACTGGGGTGGCATTTGTCCTTCTTTTACTTTTATAAGGTCTAAAATCTGTTGGAATAGAATCATGTTGTTGAAAATTTGCCAGTCTCTTCAAAATCGATGTGCTTGATATATTCCTATCCAATTCAATTCTTGTGTCCTTGTCTTCTTTATTCCTTTTGACACATGGATTGTATGAGGCAGCTGACATCAAAGCATTTCCACAGGAAGACTCCTGTAAACAGAAGTGAAGTGACATTATATGTAATGCAAACTCATAAAATCAGAATTTAAATGAAATTACATCAATTTTTCATTCAAATATCTAAAGCACAATGTTTACATAGTGTAAAAAGTGACCGTGTTTCATGTTTCTTATTTTATTTATTTTTTATTCAAAACTTCCTTTAATTATTAGTCTTAAAATATCTTATTCTTTTTACTGCATCAGCTTCTAAATTTGATTCAATTTGAGATGTTCATTCTCACATTTTTAATCCTTTGTGGTTGAGATTTCTGCTGTGCTGCAGACCTACCACTGTTTGATACCATTGGATGGATGTCTTCCTGTTTTACATTATCTGGATGTAGAATGTTGATGCATAGAGAGAATCAACTATCATAATTTATTCTAAGAAACCTGAATGTCTTATTTTTGACACACTATCAATGCAGGCTAGTTTGATTTTTCTGATCAACATGCCAAAAGGTCCGTATAAAAGAAAGATATGTATAATAACACAGAAATTAAATTAAAAGCACTGAATAGGACATCATTTGGTAAAACATTATGAGCGTCACATATAAATAAATACTTGCTTGCTTTATGCTTCTTTCCTTGTCTGTGCACTGCAAGCACAGCAATTGTGTCAAATAATGGCCTGTGTGGACATATTGTGCAGGTAAACCTGGAAAACAACAGGATGTAAGAGTATACAGTAAGATAGCACTGCAGGCCATATTCTTCAGCATTATACTATGCTGCATTAACAACCGGTGATTAATTAAAAAGCAGACATGTGCTATTCCATGTCCTTACTGTGTTATCCAAATAATAAAAACACATTACCTTCCATCCCTTAGGAGCAGAGCCTCTTTCTCTGGGATGTCATAAGCAAATAGTTCTTCTATTCTTCTTTGCTAAAACAGTAACACAATTTCAGTAATGCTGTCATTATCATATCATGATTGGGACTCAGCTGTAACAATTTTCTGCTAGAGTAAAATAATAATAATAATAACAATAATAATAATAATTAAAAAAACAAAAAGAAAAAAAGAAAAACCCATGCTGTACATTTTACTAACTTAAACACAGCCAAAGTGTCCGTTCAAATGATCTTTCAATTTCTTTTCGGAATAACATTAAGGCCATTTTTAGTTACTACGTACTTCTCTGAAAATCAGTTTTGACTGCTGACAGTGTTACATGCAATGTTAGTATTGTTACTAATTTGCCGTACCCTAATTTGTTGCAAGAGGCTGTGATCATCACCCTCTCTCTTAAATGACATGGTGAATGAGATTAGTGTTGCTAACCAATTTTCTTTTGAATGTTTTGCGTTAATCAACGCTTGGCAGCCACTGATAACAGTAAAAATAGAAATCATAACCCAGCGGAAACAAAAACACAGGGGGCAGACATATTGGAATTCCGCGAAGCGAAGTGAAGATAACCCAATGAGGTATCGGGTTACATCTGACCTTGGCCTTGCCAGCTTGGCAAGTCGGCCACGTTGACAGAATTTGATTGGACATTGTAATCACGTGGGTTATTTTAGCTTCTTTAATTGGACGTCTCTTGGTGTCCTATTCAAAAGGTCTTCTCGCGTGTAAGGTAGTAAAGAGGCGACAGCGTGCTGTCATTTGAAGGGATTCCCTGCTATTCAACTCATTTCAGGAATTCAGTAAGTATTCTGTTTTGTTTGCAACTCTCTTATTTATATTTTCATCCCTCGATGTTATCTTTTATCTCAGTATCTAGACTTGTTTATGGAAAGTAGCCACGTTGAAAGGAAATTCCTTGATCATGTCAACTCACTGACGATCAAAGAAACCGGATCTCTCTCTGACACGTTGACAAGGCACTGTTTACAGTTGACACGATGTCGTGTACTGTGTCAATTTCCAGGGAAATTGTGGTTAAATGATATCCTTTATTCGATTGATGCAATAAGCCACGTCGCATTGCTACGTGGCAGTGGTGAGTTCTAGAAAAACTCGTGGAATTTGACTGATGCAAGCAGTCCCTCACTTGAAACTGGACGGAGCAGAACACAGAGACACTTTCTTGTAACAGGTTTCTGGAAAACCCACGTTGGAACAAGGAGACCGTTTCCTTCATAGCGTATGCAAATTGTATATTTGAAATGTTATTGTGAGCGATCATGACAGTTGATGTCGATACTAAAGCATTTAAGATGACAATTAAGAGTATTGCAGATTGTGAATATATCAGTTTGTTAGTCTCATAAACCGTATTGCATTTTCCATTTTTTTAAAATAATTCCATTTAAAATGCTTTGTGCCAAGAGCTTTGTGAAGAGATAAGTTGATGTTCTTCCTCCGTTTTTATTTCTTTGATTTGTGATTTGGAATTATTTGACAGTTATAAAGTAGCAGACGTTTTATTCACTGTTCTATACATTATGCCACCCTGTACAAAATATTATTTAATTTTGAGATCTGCATAATATTTTTATGCATTTATTTCAGAAGTGAATGATAAACAGTGGAATCATGAGGTCATGTGCTTGCATGGTGGTACTGGCTCTTGTGGCCACCAGTCGCTCTTCTGCCATCCCCACCAAATCAGAGGATCACAAATCCCGATCCTTGGATAAGGTAGGGGTTCAATTGTCTTTTTCACCCTGTAGCCAGCTTAATTGTTGTGGATGCACATTGCATCAGCCAGAAAAAAATAAATAGTGTGAATAACTTGCCGTTTTGAAATTTTCAGAGTTCTGAACAGAGTTGATGCAACTTTAAATGCAAAAATTGCATAACAGAGAAGAATTTCATCATCTGTTATGTAATAAGAATAAAGAAGTTTTCTTCAGTCAACAGCTTCATATAGAAATAAATTACCTCCAATATTTCAATGTCAAACAGAGCATATTCATCAGGGAATGAGGGTTACTTAATTCTTACAGAAGATTATGCTGTGTCTGATTATCCAGTGCCACTTCCTACTTACTTACGCAATGAAAACATTGTGGTTCTGTATGTGATTAGCACTATTTAAGTTGCATGGAACAAGTTTGCTCGTTTAAATGTGATTAGTAATACCATTGCTTAATTTCCTGTCAGTATAAACATCATAACTTAGGCACTGTTCACATGAAAAATCCCAATTCCAAAAATTCATTGGTGGTATCTAGCGGTCTGTGCCCTGAATACCCCATGGCGTAATTAACTAGCGGAGCGAGCGAGTTGCTTCCAAAGCTGTAATTAAATCTCGGTTGCGCTCGGAGGAGATTCTTACACCTGGACGCATGCGCAGTAATAAGTTAGAGAGAAAGAAAATGACAGTCACAGTTGCTTTGAAAAATGTGTTTGTCGATTTTGTGCAACAAAAGAAGAAGATGAGGTCCATATACACACGACAGATATGAGTGCAAACTGATGAAATCCACAGTTAAGAGGTACTACTGCGCATGGGTCCAGGCATCAGAATCTCCTTCGAGCACAGCCAAGAATTAATTACAGCTTTGGAAACGACTCGCTCGCGCTGCTAGTCAATTACACCGCGGGGTATTCAGGGCACATACCGTGATCACTAGATACCACCAATGGATTTTTGGATTTATAAAACTTGGATTTTTCATGTGAATGGTGCCTTAGGAACCTTGTATGTAATTAACATGCATATGCTCATCAAATTTTTTTTTATTGAACATTTAATATATGCTTTAATATCATAATTTGTACAAGCTATATTTTTATATGAACTCAGAAAGTAAATTTACAATTACTTTATGATCATTTGTGACAAATATTAATAATTTTTTATGTATAGAAGAATAAAACAAATCATAAAGGAATGAAAAATGTATTGAATTATTTGTTTAAATGCAATCTAGGACCTAAGCGATGAACAGCATTATGAAGGCGAGGAACATAATGCAGAATATGACCACGAAGCCTTTTTAGGACAAGAGGAAGCCAAGACGTTTGATCAACTCACACCTGAAGAGAGTAAAGAAAGATTATCGTAAGTATATGCTCTACAGATATATACAGAATTTGAGCAATTATTAAATTCTTCATTTGAAATGTGTTTTATATTAAAATGCATTTCTTGCTGTTTTTTCCCCTATAATGTGATATAAACATGATGGTAAAACAGGATTATCTGATACTGAATCTGTGTAGCAGTTGATTTAAGGATTTGCAGAATATTCTTTCGAGAATTGTGTGGGATGCCAGATATCTCATTGACACGGGATGTTATCAGTCAAGTCAAAATGAAAGTCACATTTTTTTTTTTTTTTTTTTGAAAAATTTTTATGCAAAAAGAAACGCAAGTGGTCATTTTTATCCGTAACATATGATGAATGCTTATTTTCTTTCACAGTAAAATAATAGACAAAATAGACAGAAATCAAGATGGCCAGGTGTCAGAGGAAGAGTTGAAGGAGTGGATCCAGCATGTCCAGAAGCGCTATGTGTACCAGGACACAGAGAGACAGTGGGTGCAGGACCAGAAGGTGGAGGGAGACAAGCTCACATGGGAAGCTTACAAAGACAGAACCTATGGATTTTTAAAAGATGGTATGCAGGAGCAGATATTTTATTATGAGAGGAGGGGGGGTATTGTGTCATGCTTTTTATTCATTTTGACAAGACTTGTTATGATTATGTTTTCTGAAAGCCAGTTTTGATTTGAAAAAAATATCTGTTGTACATTTAAAACCACTTTGAAAGGAGTGATATTGCACCTTGGAAACTTCATGTGTTTTTGTTGATTAATAAACATTTTCAATTGATATTTAATTTCTAGGAAGAGATACCAAAGCAGGAGACAGTGGCTATGATTACAAAGACATGATGGATCGTGATGAGAGGCGGTTTAAAAAAGCTGATGCAGATGGGGATGGTGCTTTGACCAAAGACGAGTTTGCTAATTTTCTCCATCCTGAGGAGGCTGAACACATGAGAGAAATAGTGGTGCTAGTAAGTGATGAGTCCATGTGAAATTCTTAAATAAAAGGGATATTATATATTCTGTGTTAAATGGTTTTATTTATTTACATGATTGGAGAGACGATTTTGTTTGTGTTGACTATGATTCTTGCAATCTTCTTTAGTAACTTCTCCATGTGCATCATCTTTGTGTTGATGTATTTTTAGGATTTGTGTTTTGTTACAGAATTCAATTTTAAAGAAAATTATTTTTTAATGTTTTTAGGAAACAATGGAAGATATTGACAAGGACAAAGATGGAAAAATAAGTTTACAGGAATATATAGGTAGGTTGTTGTAGCAGGGTGTAAACACATGAGCAAGTTAACCTTTCAATTTCAACCTTGAGAGACAATAAGAATTAAGAATGATCTAGTAATTGTATCTATATGGAGTTTAGTAGGGGCTTATCCTGTAGTAAAGTAAGTAAGATTAAAAAAAAAAGATGTTGCATTAAGAGTGTCAAATTGCTGTTTTTATAGAAATGGTTTTGTCTCAGTAGATCCCTTTCTCTTATAGGTGACATGTGGCCCAATAAGGATGATGAAGAAGAGCCAGACTGGGTAAAAAATGAGCGTGAACAATTTGGTGCTTATCGTGACAAGAACAAAGATGGTTACATGGATAAGGATGAAGTAAAAGATTGGATCATTCCGCCTGATTATGACCACTCTGAAGCCGAGGCCAAACATTTAATACACGAGTCTGATAGAGATAAGGTGGGTTATGCTTACTTGCAATACAATGTCATGTGTCACACTAGCTTGTATTATTATTATGATATATTTCTCTTTATTTTTTATTTTAAAAAGAACTCTTCATCCAATTATTCAGTAAGAGACAAATATATATTTTAATGTAAGATGTGTTAACAGTGTATGTATTTCAACTAACAAGTTTGAATTTCAAAATGATCAAATCTCTAAACCTGTCCAATCTGAAGCTTGTATTTCAAGGCATTTACATGTGTGTTTTTTTCCAGGATGGTCAACTAACAAAAGAAGAAATTTTGGACAAATATGACTTATTTGTTGGTAGCCAGGCCACAGATTTTGGAGAAGCTTTAACAAGACATGATGAATTTTAGTGCCAAAATTTTTAATATTATCAATTAACAATCCCACTTTTATAGTCATTATCTCCATGCAGTGTATGGCATAGAGCTCTTCTACTCCTTACAGCATTGGTATTGCTACAAATAGTACACTTACTTTGATATTAATAGAATTTAACTGTTACTCGTATAAGTCGGATAAACATTTTAGTATGACTTGGATTCATGTTTTATAGATGAGGTTTTTCTTCTGACAGGGACACTTTTTTTTACCTAAAATAAAAGTGTGCAGGATTTAAAGAATGTAAGGTTTTACTCTAAAGGCATGGAAGATGAAGTAATTTAGATTTACTTGGATGCACACATAAATGTGAATAATCTTGTTCATTAATACTCCTGACATCAGATTTCAACAAAATACTGGAGATGTGTTTTACTGAGATGTTTATTTGCCCAAATATTATTTGATTTACTTATAGATAGTAAAGTAATGGTGTGCCTAGATAATGAGCACTCCTTTCTTAAATTAAGACAAACACAATGCAAATTTTGTTAAAGAAATTTTGCTCTCATCAAATTAATGGTCAACAGTATTTTTGCATTTAGTTACTATGCATGCTTAGAAACTGGCTCACTTCGTACTTATAAAACTTGCACGAGATGTGTGCTCATGTAACAAAGTAGTGTAATGTGTGTTAATGCTGTTACCTGAATACTTGCCAAAGAAAAGGACATGGTTTATGTACCATTTTATACATATGTGAAAACAACTTATAATTATGAACAGTGCATTACAGTGTAAGCATAGCGATCATTTTATATATATTTAGAAAAGTAGGTTATATGTTTAGTTTGAGGAAACATTCGAGAAGTGTGTAAACCTCATTCAGCATTCTTGTTGTAGAATAACTCTCCTGTAATAGGACTTGTTCAGTAGGCGTCGCTGTACTGTTGCCTTATGTTGCCAAGTTTTTATACAAAATACTGCCATAAATAATAAGTTAAGAATTAGGTATTACGTTTTGTTTGTTTACTGTACATCTTGAGATGTCTCTTTATTCAGCATTCATGTTCATTTCTTTGCCCTTGACCTATATATTCATTTTGGTATTATTTCCCGTTTCTTTGACCAAGCTTCCTATCCAGCCCTGGAGTTGTTTGTGGTCAGATTTAAATGGGTCGAAGTGCGTTGCGGTGATCAAGCACTTGGTAACATTTCATGAAACCAGCCAAAATTGATCAATTTTTGCACTAAGAAAGTTGTGATAATAATGTATAGATAGATAGATCGTGACGTGTCCGTCGTAATGCTGAGAGGAACAAAAATCGAGTATATTTTAAAATAAAATGGGTAGTTAAAAACAGATATTCGAGCCAGGCCTTGCGGAAACGATTCATTTATGTGAACTTTGGTTGTCTCCAGTGTCAACTTTGACCGGAAAATCTGACGCGTTGATATACAAATTCTTTACAATAACGAGGCGCTTGGCGGAAGTAGACTTCTCGTCTGCTCTTATCAAAATCCTGTCACTGGAAAGGAAGACTTTAATGAAGTGCCATAATGGTTGGTTGGCGTGAGGGGGAGCATGAAATCCTTGGATATATCTTGTCAGAAAATACTGTCTTCAAACTTGTCGCAAAATATTCTAAAAGTGCATAAAAATGAGAAAAAATGGAACTGTGTAACTGTGATTTCAATTTGTTCGGTTGATCAGTCAAATATCTATCAGATAGACCTATCCGGCCCCATTATTTTCCTGTTTGCTTTGTGGCACCATTTTGTTGCCTGTCGGTTTTATTGTTGTGAACCCCAAGAAGAAAGCGACAGATTTTAAGCATAACATTTTGAATGCTTAAATTGAAAAACGGCATTCAAAGATTGTGCCGGCTTCGAGGTAGCAATCACAATGCAGTTCGTAAAGTATCTTTTTCTCGCATTTCTCGGAGTGAATTTGGCGGTAAATGCTCAAGAAACAAAACCGGGTAAAGGTATGTTCACCTTGACTTTTCCGCCTATAATTTTCGAGTTATTTTATTTTATTTTACTTTGAATTGCGTATCTCTTAGTTTTTGCAAGATATCTTAGTTAGGCCTTAACGCTTGTTTGTGCGGTTTACTGCAGCATCCCAATTTGTTTATTTCGATAAAAATTTGTCGTCTCTCACTATAATTAAAACTCTTTTTGTCTAAACACTAACGTGTAGGCCAACTGCCGATTTGAGACATCAGTGAATGGAGCACGTATATCTAGTTCAAAAGCCATTCTTAGACAGATGACTACCTTGGAACTGACGTCTTAAGAGTTGCCTATTTTCTGTAACCTTACTCCGTAGGCCTACTCTATGTGCTGGGGAATAGTGGCATGATTAAGCCACTGGTTAATTGTGCGAGTTGAAAATGTGAAAAAATTGCATGGCAGTCCTGAGAGTAATTGAACACTAAATGAAACGGTCGTATCGTGAAATGGACAGATGTAGGTAGGGGTAGTGGGGGTAAGTGAGAAAACGGAAGGAGTGTCATTTTTGCCTGTGGTAACTTAAATTTCAGACGGCCCTGAAGGATGAAAGATCGGCCTGTCAGCGCTGTTTAAAATGATATATATATTGCAAATGAAACGGAAAACTTCGGCAGTGTGCTTGTGGACTGATTTTGTAGGGAGCGCCACTTTCATTTTGAAGTGACTGAGAACAATTTTAATTTAATTGTGAAGTCAACATTGCCATGAAGTAGTATCATGCATCAAGTTGAAATTCCTGGGGTTGTATTTGTAAATGTGTTATTCTTAAATTTTTATAACCTCAAATACTTTGTTTTATTGGAAACGAGTCGATAATTTATTTAAACAGACGCAGACAATTGGTTTGAACTCGGTCAAAAGATTTAGAATGTCTTTTTTTTTTCATTTTATATGTCAAGTGGCAGCAAGAAAAGGGGTTCAATGTCCGAAATTAAAACTAAAGAACGGGCGCGTCAAGAACCGGTTCAGAGGGAGGCAGGCAAGTTTCCGTTGCCGCTCTGGCTACACTCTCGTCGGCAAGTCCTTTGCCGTGTGTCTGGGTAGAGACTGGTCCCATCCAGTACCCATCTGTGTAGGTAAGGTCTATATGCCTTGACTTAATGTATACAGTGGTGAAGATGCCTATTAGACAATTGAAATATGCTCATAAATTTGCTGAAGAGACTTTAAAAAAAGTGGTATCTTTTTCAACAACATTGCAAATTGGCTCTCTTTCCATATTTTTTATTTAATTTTTGTCCTGAAATTAATACCTTAAGATAAGTTTCTGTGTACAAAAAGTCAGTGCCGAAATATCTATTCAATATTTTACGAATTTCACTCCCGATCTTGAGTAAGAATTGTCTCTGTCTTATATGTCTTTTACGACAAGTTTGGAAATGTTTTCGATGATCAGGAAACATCTGTTCATTCTGGAAACTATATTTAAAAACAGAACAACACACCTATGATGTTCACCAATACTTGCACTGGGCATCCAAGCTTATACAATACTCTATCAGGCATATCTTAAATCAGGTTTGGGATTAACCTGTATTTTATCTTACATGATTCAGCTCCGACATGCCCTCCCTTCACTGACCTAGACAAAAAGAACTTGCAAGTGGCACAGTGGTACGCTGGTGCTCTCCTGAAGTTCAGCTGTCCACCTGGATTTGAGATAGAGGGTTCTGACGTTTTGCTGTGTGATGGGCGCTCGTGGAACGGGACAGTGCCTGCTTGCAAGTGTAAGTTGAATGAACCCTGGTTCTCTTCGTGAGATTTGGTTTGCAGGACTGCAACTGCTTCTCTGTCGCAATGCTGTGATTGTGTTGAACATCATGCATTACGGTATTGCCGTGTTTACTTGTATAACAATATTAGGATTCAGATCTCGAAAAGGACTATTTTGATTTCTAAGATTATAAACACTCGATCATTGGTATTGTCAGTTTTCATTTTCAGTCGAGGGTAACTTGTGTTGATACGAGTATTGCTATGAAACATTTTTTTAGATGTGCCCCCTGCAAACGGCGCCGCATCCGTTGCTTGCGATTTCGAGGAAAACCTTTGCGGCTGGCTTCAGGACAGTGCTGACCACGCTGACTGGAGACGGCACAGAGGACAGACGCCGTCTGCGTACACTGGACCAACTTATGACCACACTACAAATTCTACAAAAGGTAACCTGTTTCATCCCCAGTAATTCCCCAAAAAGAGTGACTGGACTTCAGAGAGTGTGTCTGACATAGTAATTCTTGGCTCTAATTTCTTAATTCTTAACATCGATTAAAATTATTATTATTATTATTATTATTATTATTATTATTGGTTAAGTCTTCATGAAATTCGCAGTGGTTCGCAGGACATGTTCGGTTTAGTGGGTAGTTTTCATATATGTGACAAATTAAGTTTTTCTACTTGCGTGGTTTCGTGTACAGAAGGGGACTCTGCAAGGAACAAAAAAGAAAACAATATGAAATGATGTTATATTAGATGGCGTATTTTATAGTACATTCGCTATCTTTCTCCAAGGTTTTTACATCTACTTGGAGTCGTCAGACACAGCGGCTGGACAAAAAGCACGTCTGGTTACCCGGGTACTGGGGGCTGAGACACAAGAACGTTGTTTCCAATTCTGGTATCATATGCAGGGCCCCAGTCCCAAACGTAAGTCATCTAGTCTCTCTCGCATTTTACTGGTAAGAAAGGTATTTGGACATCTTCTCATTGTTTTTATTTCTTGCTTCAAGAAAACCTATGATAACTAAGGGATGAAAAACTATTTTGAGCTTTAAAAAAACATATAACGTCACTGTTGCGTGTCTTATTCTATTTGTTATAAAATACTTGTATCGTTTTCAACCGAGTAACGTAAAGTTCTGACACGAAGTCTCATTTTCTTGTCACGAGAAAAGAGAAGGATTCACAGAGAAGGATAAAGATAAGTGTAGCACCTAGATAAAACCAATAAAGATTTACTATTGTTCTTTATATGCATAAAAGTGATGGGTGACCTGAATATCTATATCAAGCCAGTTGGACTTCCCGAGGTGTTGCTGTTCCATAAAAATGGCACTCAGAGCATGCTGTCAGACGAGTGGCAGTTTGCCAACGTACACCTGCCAGCCATGTTACAAGAATTTCAGGTAACTATGGCAAAGTTCACCGCTAACTGATACTTTAGATTCATAGATTTCGTGTTTATGTTCACTTCATCAAAATATATCATCCTTTAACTTTTTCTTATGTTTGATTAGAATTTTGGGATATTGATGGCTATTTCTCTTATTTGCGTCACATTTTTATTAACTGCAGGACAACCAAGTAGGTTTATAAGTCGTAGATTTAATCTTCTTCCTCTGATTTTTTGCTAAAAAAGTTCTTTTCGACGCAAGTTCTATCAGATGGAAATCTAGTGCTTGTTTCCTTTTGGTTTGATAGTTGCCCATTTGATTTCAGATTGTAATTGAAGCTGTTGAAGCCACACATTACGCGGGGTCTTACGTCAGCGATATAGCGGTTGATGACGTTAATCTGACATCATGTCCAATTAAACGTAAGTCGTTCAATACTATTGCATCATGATTGCGTATGTTTATTATAGGGAATAATTAACTGATTATGTTGCTTAATTTAAAATGTTTGACGCTGTCTACTGGTATGTAAATGGTGTTTTTAATTGTGTTTGATTCCAAGTGATTGGAATTGAATTGATATTGAACTGTTTAATCTTCGTTGGGCACGGAGTTATAATTGGAGTAATTATATTAGATCTATGTAGCTCTGTTGAATCGTAACAATAAAGGCAATCTTTAGAATTTCATATTAAAAAACTCTGTTAATTGCTCAAGAACTGTCAAACCATACTTCTGTTTTTACTGGGTAAATTATTATTATTATTATTATTATTATTATTATTATTATTATTATTATTATAACTTATGTTTGGGGGGTATTGCACTTCTCATGTATTTCTGTATGGTTCTGTTTTGAATTAGTTTCTTTTGAGTGATATTATTGCCGATGTTATTGTTTACTTGGCACTGTCTGTTCTGGTACTATCTGTTAAACGAAGTAGGATTTTCTGTATTATCTGTTTCTCTTATATTGGCTTTGGATAAAGCACATGTAGGGACTGCATTGTTGAGACACTGGCACTTTTCTCTTTCAATTTCCTATTCTATAACTCATTCCAAACAGGAAAATTGTTATTTGAAAAGCCTTAAGAAAATGTCATCTTAAGTTATTTTTACATGCAGGCAGAACACAATTTCATCTGACAGGTGATTTCAAACCTGTCCTCATTTTTCAACTAATAGAATGAACCATGTTGTTATCATTCGGCCTTCAAATCAACAGTTGTGTTTCTGAAGTTATAACTTTTGGTGTCTTTTTTCATCGCAATATATATTACTGCTTTCAAGCATCAAGCAATTTTATTAAACAATTAGAATGACCAACGCACCAAACCCTTTTCAGCAAGATGAGCGTTTCTGATTAAGGGGAGGCAGATAATACGCAATTTATTTATTAATTGTTATCATTATTTTGCCATATGCATTGAGAGGTCTTTTGTATCTCAGAGACAAGCGTAATCCAGTGGCCGACGCCATCTTTGACCACTCCAACAACAAAGAAGAAAACTTCTACCCCAGTGTCAACTGTGACTACAGCATGGACAACACTGACGCCATTTACACCAACAATGCCATCGTTATCAGCAGTAGCAACCTCTAAAATGAATTCAAGACCCACAGAGGTCAACAGATCAACAACGGAGTCTACCGGTACCATCGGTTTGAAAGTGTTAACGTTGTCAACAAATAGCAAAGAAAAAGATCAATATAAACAAACCAAGCACCAAAGTTTCGTGTCTACCGTAATTACCACACCTCTGAGCAGTTTTGTATTGAACTTGACGACAGGGGGTCCGCCTACTGAAAGCGAGCTACCAATTGAATCCGTGTCAGTGCCGCCAAAGGGACAAGAATCGCAGTCAAATGAAGGCGATATTGAGATCCAAAAATCTACCGAAAGGAACCCTAACAAACGGACTCTTATCTTTATTATATTTGGTATAATTGGAGGGAGCTTGGTGATGGTATTTTTGATAGCCATGTCAGTTCGTTATGTTTCACAAAGACGCCGTCATTTTCATGAGACTTCACTGAACGACGATCTCCATCCGATAACTGCTTCCAATGGGACGCCCCGGCACTCATCCACAAATTCCGAGAACCCTATAGAAATGTTTTAATTTCAAGAACTAGTTGATCTGAAACTTCATGACAAAATGAGTCATTCATTCGATAGGCCAAAAAAGTAGAATAATATATGAGAAGAATATAGGAGCGGGTTTTTTATTGTGAAATGGGGTTACCATGGTATGGGGGCGCTTAGGGCACCAAGAGACCTCAATCCGGTCCTGAGTGACAATAAGCATAAAGGCACTTTCAAAACATAGAAATCAAAGGAATTGATATTTTTTCATTTCTTGAATTTAACTTTGTGGTTTGCTTAAAAGCAATTTTCATTAGAGTAGCTGGGTAATTCGTTGATAAATACACCTCCTGCGCATGCGTCAATAATTCAATCAATTGAAGGAACAGAGGAAAATAGAATTGATAGCTCAAGCAAAAAATCTATTCTTCGGAGAGCTTGCTGCACAGGAAATCAGCCTGGTACATCAAAAAGAACGCCAATTGCAGCTTAAGAGAATTCAATCAAACTGCCAGCCAGGTCACAATGAGAAAAGTTGCACACTGAGATTAAATAAGTTTTTTGGACATCAATCTCGGTTGTTCTTCAGTGTTCACCATTGCTGCAACGTCTAAACATTTTCATCAAATTGAATACACTGTAATGGATCTTCATAGACCTTAACACACAGTCACTGCGTAATCCTGTTGAGAACAATAGAGAAAGCCAAAGCCAAAGTTCGTTCTTTTCTGTACTTGCAGATAACTGCGGAACTATACACAATGCTGCGACAAAGGGAAATAAAATGTTTCCTTTACTTAGAAACGTGCTGTGATAGAATATCGACCGTTCATTAGCACAGCTGACGAAAGGTCGCTCTTTATTGATAGAGAATTTGATCCGAGCGATGCGGGGATAAAAGATAGATACATTGCAATTACCCTAACACGGATGGGTTTTGTTCCATGCTTTTACTTATAAAAATAGATGAACGTATTAATAATAAATATATTCAAACTGGCGCCATTTGTTTATTTTTCTCCTCATAAAAATGCTGTGTCATCGTACATTCTCAAATGATGTCGTTTCGATTTAATCTATCCAGTATTATTACGTGCATTGAATAAAAATTCATATGGTTACAAGAGCTCCACTGTGGATGTTTATCAATGCAAAGTGCTTAGAAACATTTATTTGTAATGGCACCAGCCTTCTATGATTTTTTTTTTTTTTTTTTTTTTTTTTTTTTTTTTTTGACACAATCACCTTTTGTTAGAACTACGGTTAAGCATCGGGTGACAAAGACTGAGAATTGTGCAATAAATTTTTAGAGTCTTTCAACACTAGGTCGACAACTTAATGATAATTATTACGCATCCAACTGAATTGGCATCAACTCCAATCTTTGTATCTCTATCTTGGCCAAAAGAAATACGCTTTGACAGACAGCAAGTACAGATGGGGATTCCATTTATCTATATATGGGAACGAAAAAGTTGTCTGCTTCAGGTAAACATCACCAACGCCGCGCTAAAGAACGTAACAAAAAACAAAGGCATCTAAATGTTATTGTATCCATGTAGAATAATCGACTATCATTATCTACACAGAGTTATAGTTAAAATCCTGAAAACTAAGGAAAATCAACATTAGCACGTAGTGGCCACTTAAGCGATGCTTTTCATATCGCCATGAATTCAAAGGACCAACAAAGGGAAATGGGACTTTGTTTGTTACAACATATTATGATACCAATTGCTAAAAAGATTTTCTTCCTATCATTTCAACAACCAGGACCATCTCCACGGTAAACAGTTAAGTAAACGAATCTGTTCAACACAGCCACAGTAACGGCACGAGCGCTCATACAACCTCGGGGATGTGTAAAGTTAATTCACCTCACTACGCCAAACAGATGGGCTTGGTTTGGATATAGATTTCTGTGCCCGCTGAGAGCCGATAGACCTCAGCGAGTCTGTTGGTTCGATTTTCTGCCTTGCCGATGCTAGCATTGCTTTTACACTTGAATAGCAGAGGCGTACTTTTTTCGCTTTTGATTTTTTTACAACGTAAATTGAGGCATTGCTTTCTTATTTAGCCTGGAAATGACGTGTAAATAAGTAAGGAGTTATTAAGTTCAGTCAAGATAAAGACGCGCGCTCTGTTTTTATTTAGTCGATATTATCTAGACCGATAAGTAATATACTTTCATTTGGATTGGCTCATTACTTATGAAAATGTAATCTGCCGTAAACATGAGGGTGTGTGAATGGACACGTGTCCTAGTGTGTCCATGTTTGTCTATTGGTTACGTGTGAGTGCTCAGAGGAGGGCTTAGATATACATACATCATGTAAATGATTATAAATAAGTCCTGCAATCTCCTTACCATAACCAAACGTTAAAAAGGTAAAAATCCGCACAAAGTATAGTTTTACACAGTGGCGCCATGCGAGGAATTTTCGAAATGTCATTACTTTGGCATTCCAATTTCCGTTCATATTATCACTCAAGAGGGAGTCTTGCTGGGGAGTATCAATAATTCATTCGTGCTTCTCCATTGAAAAAATACCCATACGATTATATGCATTTCCCATTTCGCGTAGTGTTGGCTGTGAATACAAACAGTAAAATGGTAATTTTCGTCGGTTTAGTTGGCTACAATTGGCAATCAGGCTGCGAATGAATTCTCGTAATCGTTTGGGTAATAAGGACCTGGTGGCTAGTTATTATAACGACCCGGAACACTATAGGAGTCACATTGCGGCCAACAGGAGATGGAGATTGGTAATGAATGTTGACATATCCGAGTTTTGCGTGCATACCCGTGGTATACAAAATTATAGGAAAAACGCTCTGTAAAATCAAGTACACGGAGACCAGCTAATATATTGGCGACAAAGAAAAAGTATGGCTAAATTTTTGTAATCCTTTTTTGTTAAATCCAATAAACCATTACAGTTAGAAGAAACACGACTATTAGGGATATGCAGAAGCAAAGGTTTAAAGATTCTGATCCAAGCATACCCTCTCCCGCCACGCGCGCGCGTGCACACACACACCATGAACATTGGAACATCATCGTGACGCAATCCACCTCATGAGGTTCAGTAAACGAGCCGCAGACCGAGAAGATATTGAATATTGTGACAATAATGCAAGCTGTTATACAATTTTATTGATAAAACGTTAGTCAAATTTGCTGCATTTACTCAACCAATACTCTGTACTGATACTCTGCTTAATTTGTTCTCTTAATTTCTGCGCTTTGGGCTGTCTTAGATAAGATGTCTAATAATCTGTGTCCGTCCCGTTTGCACTATATTAACGCTCGAAAGCGGAGTTCTTTCCGCCTTCTTAAACGAACTCTGTTGGAATTTCCATTTTAGAAAGTTTCATTCGCTTTGACCTGACCGAAAATAGTTCTAAATATTCAATTTGCGTCTCTGCCGCCTAAAAAATGCAAATAGATTAAACAATTAGCACTTGACTAATCATATCCCTATCGCCAAGAAATGGGATTAATTTGCGGAGTACTGTTTCCATTAGTGTCTAATCTATTGAAAAAGTCATGTAATCTTAAGACGTTAACTTTGTTAAGTTGGTTTGTCTTCTTTTTTTTCGATTTTATTGCTGTTAACTCGAGTTGTGAATATTCCGTATGACTAATCTTTAAGTGGAGTGCGTATTTGCATTCCACTTAACAGAAGCGCGCTACATTGTATAGTTTTTCGTAAATACATACGAGAGACTCCCGGTAACCGCACAGAGTGAAAGTAATTACGCGGGGTGGACGGGTTAATCTCCTCTCGGTCCTCATTGGTTTGTAAAAATTACCTAACATTTCGAGACGAAGGCCGAAATCATTGTGAAAATAGTCATGTCTTAATGAAGATCGACATGCAAGTACGGCGCTGAGCGAGGTTACTTTTTATTTTCTACCTGTAGGTTGCCGGAACACGAGATGACCTGCCCACGGGCGTTCCTTATTCGCTATCTGTTATTAGTACCTTACGAACATAAATAAACAAGCGTGGTGGATGGGATGTGGGGATTTGTATAGCTAGTAGCGAGGGCAAAAGCGTGATCTCAATGGCAGCTAAAGGACATATGCGGCAGCCCCTGGTATGGATTGAGATTTAAAACAGAGACAGCCACGTTCATAAATTTATTTGATCCCGGTTGTCAATATGATAAGTATATACCGTCTACTTATTGGATCTTCTTTTAGAACCTGAAAAAAAAACGATAAACAGCATTTTGGTTTAACGCTAATGGAGACAGCTGTCGCGAAACAAAAAGAAGAAAAGGTTTTATTTATTTCTGTGATTCCTGCAGGCGCTTCAGCAACACGCCGGTTTCGTTTTCAGGGAGGCCACGGATACTTGGAAAGCAGTTTCAGACCGTTGCGGTCATCATGACTGTTCTAAACTAATTTAAACAAAAGCAAATAGACACATCTGTTGCAGCAACTGCTACGGAAAGAATGTGCACGTTTCAACCCCAGTTGCTACTGGGAGAGATCATCCTCCAATCTTTCCCGTAGATAACTGTGTACGAAGATGGATGAAGGGATTCTAGGAGACGGCAAGATAGATCGCTCATTGCTTAGATTAAGCCGGTTCGGTGAAGTAATAACACAGCTGGTCATTTGAGAAAAACTCGGCTTGATGGGTGGTCACGGCATTCCTTCGTTTCTCTGGCTCGCACTATCTCTCTATCTACGGTACGTTGAGTCGACAGAGGACAACAGGACGGCGCTCTACATCGCTGGGTTGTTCCCTTACAACTATCAAGGTGAAGAGGGTAAGATTGGGCGTGGGGTGCTGCCTGCCGTGTACCTGGCCCTGGGGCACATCAATGCCAGGCCGGAACTCATGCCGGGGCACCGCCTGGAGCTGCATTGGCACGATTCACAGGTAAGAAAACGTGCGGTTTGTCAGTATGAGGGAGGATAGAGGGAAGAAGGGAAGAAAAAACGGAGGGTTCACTCAGTGAATCTCTTCGATAAACTGAGTTGAATCAACCTTAATTTTGATTTTTCATTCAAAAGAGAATACTATATTTAATAATAGTGAATTGACTCTAATACTCGTATCGAGCACTGAGATATGGGGGGGGGGGGAGGGGAGGGGGAAGGGGGCTACGCTGGTTAGACACACACATTGTTTGCAAGTTAATGGTGAGGACTATTCACGCGGTTTCGCTATCAGTTCTGTTGGTTGATCCTTTCGAACATGTTGTCTATTCCAATAAAGCATAATAACCGCAAAGAATAAAACAGCCATCATCAGTAATAAAGAATGATACTTGATGGAAGGTGGTTTCTTATGGATACTTTCCTATGTTACATAATTTTTACCATATATAAATAAATATAGTTTTATTATTCTCAACACCGCGGACCCTTACATCAATACAAAGCAGTTGTCAAAAAGTGCTTCCTAGGCTAGAACGGCCCAGGCAAATAATTGGTGAAATGATTCACCAGAGTACTCTAATGCAATTTAGTAAAAGGCAGTCCTTACGTTGAAATTAAGCAGCTTATGGATGTGGAAGATGTATCGAATCGTACAAAACTGTCATAGGACCGCGTTCCCCCTTCATAAGGCTTATGAACTCTGTTCGATATAATGCATTCGTAACAAACGCAGCTAAAAAGATTCAGGGGTTGTTTTTGTCATAAGCATTGATCATGGAAGGAAGACTTCTCATTAATTTCCCAGCGTTTCATAACCCTCAGGCTGCATCTTTGTATGCACTCTACTCCGCTATCATTAACACCTCTGACGGCGCTTTGTTTCAATTTCCTTCATAAAATAATATTCCATTTCGTTTCTATTTGTCCGACTGAATTATCTGTATTGGATCCCATATAAACAATATACAACCATCTGTGCTTCAAAACTCTTGCGTATGCACATGCCTTATCTTTAAAATCATATTTAAGAAATAAGCCAGGATAAAGAATAAATATCGTTATTGTA